AAAAGGAGTATTGGGGTGGTGTTGTTATGATTTGGAGTGGTTTTGGAGGAGAGTTGAGGGTGATTAGCTTCGGTTGAAAACCAAGAAGCTCGAGCCTTCATATTGAGGCTCGAGCATTTTCTTGCAGCAGGCTCGAGCATCAGGACATAAAGTTTGAGCATTAGCTAGTATCGGGCTCAAGCATCAATACCTCAGGCTCAAGCATTGGAGCACAGAGTTGGGGGTTTAGCTTGGATATTATTCTTAGATTATAGCGATGCCGAGACAACTGAGGCAGAGAGTTGTTAGGACACCGGCGATAGCGTTAGATGATGCATGGCGGTATAGCAAGATCTACGATGAGACAGATTTTGTTATAGAGGACTTTCAGAGGCATCGTGATACATGTTGGGCAGTGGAGGCCCTACAGGCTCGCCAGCTTTCTGGGTTCTTGAGGCATCCAGCACAAATTTCCTTCCACAGGCTAGTGCAAGCTTTCTACCACTCCTTACAGTCCCATGCAGAAGACGAGGAGGAAGATAAGGAGGACCACTTCATAGCCACTGTTGAAGGCATACAGCTGACAGTGAGCTGTGATACTATTGCTGCAGCTATGGGTTGCCATCACAGGTGCCCAGCCGCTCTTATGGACAGATTTCCACCGATTCCCCCGAGCATAACTCGGGAGGCTACGGTCCTTGCTTTGGGCTAGGGGTGACATGCCTCCACCTTAGAGACGATCCAGAAGTCACAGCTTCCTAGATGTTTTTGGTTTTTGGATACAGCCCTTGTGGCCAATGCTCGCCCTATCGGACACAAGATAGTGCGATGTGCTGAGATGGTGGATGTGACCTATGCATTCCACGCCGGCTACTGGGTGTCTATCCCCCAGTTAGTTTTGGTACAGCTCTGCCGGCTTTATGAGGAGATGGGAGAGGCCTAACGCCCTCCTATTCATCATATTCATTTTCCTAGATCTGTAAAGCAACCTCGTAGTATCATTGAAGATGTACTAATCAAGGTGGACAATTTCTACTTCCCGGTAGACTTTGTGGTTCTAGATACTGAACCAGTCCATAATCCAATAAAATATATTCCTGTAATCCTTGGTCGGCCTTTCTTAGCTACAGCTAATGCTTCAATTAATTGCCGAACCGGGGTGATGGATATTTCTTTTAGAAATATGAAGGTGAAGCTTAACATCTTTAGTGCTTCTCAACATCCTCAAGGGGAATATGAGTGTTTCTCTCTTGACATTATTGATGAAATGGTTAAAGAATCTCTCCAATTTTATTTTAAGTCAAGATCCTCTTGAAACTTGCTTGGCTCATTTTGACTTCGAAAATTTTGATATTGATCAATCCAATCGTGAAGTCAACTCTTTGCTTGAAGCCAAAGTAATCTCGGACTTTCCTCCTTTGAAAGTACCAAAGGAACCTCTTCCATTAATTTATAGCACTCCTCGTGTCCCTTCATTGAAATCTCCACCTCAACTTGAGTTAGAGCCACTTTCGATTAATCTCAAGTATATATTTCTTGGTGTAAACAAAACTCTTCTGGTCATCATTGCATCAGATCTTTCAAAAGACCGAGAACAAGAGCACAAAGAAGCTATTGGTTGGTCAGTGGCTGATTTAAAAGGAATTGACCCTTCCATTTGCATGCACCGTATTCTTTTAGAGGAAGAAGATAAACCTTCCCAAGAGGTGCAGCGTCAGTTAAATCCTAACATGAAGGAGGTTGTCATGAAAGAGGTAATAAGGCTATTAAATGAGGGAATCATCTACCCCATCTCAGATAGTAAGTAGGTAAGTCCCAATCAAGTTGTTCCAAAGAAGTCTGGCCTCACCGTTGTTGAAAATTCAGCGGGAGAACTTGTGCCACAACGTACGACTACTGGTTGGCGTATGTGCATTGATTACAGAAAACTAAACTCTACAACTAGGAAAGATCATTTTTCACTCCCATTCATTGATCAAATCCTAGAAAGGTTAGCTAGCCAGAGTTACTATTGTTTTCTTGATGGCTATTCTAATTATAACCAAGAGGCTGTAGATCCTCAAGATCAAGAGAAGACCACTTTCACTTGTCTTTTTGGAACTTTCGCTTATCGTAGTATGCTCTTTGGGTTATGTAATGCGCCGGCCACTTTTCAAAGATGCATGATGTCCATATTTTCTAATATAGTCGAAAAATTTCTTGAAGTATTCATGAATGATTTTTCTGTCTGTGGATTTTCTTTTGACTCTTGTCTCCATAATCTATCACTCGTCCTTCAAAGATGTAAAGATACCAATCTAATTTTAAGTTGGGAAAAAAGCCACTTCATGGTGCAAGAAGGGATTGTCCTGGGACACATTATTTTGTTTTTCCTGAATGGGATGGTATTATATACAAAAGAATTAAGTACAAGTGCATAAGGAGGCAAACCTCCTTTTACAATTCAAGAGCTACAGAAAGCCCTTTTTCCAAAACATACTAGAGAAATAAAAATTACTTAAACATAAAACAATTAAAACATAAGTAAAAAATCTTCTAAACTAAGTTTGAGATAGGACAAAACTTCCCAAACAATAGACTTAGCAACAGCCGAAGCTTGATCTTTATTTCCTTCATGAAGCACATTATTTCTAACATTCCATATCTTCCAAACAGTGGTTGCAAATATTGCACTCAAAACCTTTGTCTTAGTAGATTTAGTAAAAATTTGCAGACAAAACCAGTCCACAACTTGCATCAAAGTGTCATGCACTGGCAATTCCATTTGCATCAAACTGAAAAGATCCTGCCAAGTAGCCTGGGCATACTTACATTTATAGAAAAGATGATCATTTGTATCCAAACTCAACCAACACTTATGACAAATTGAGGTCAACACCATTTCACGCTTCTGCAGATTCACCAAACTGAGATTCCTGTTATGTAGAATGATAGAAACCACCACAGCAACTCTAGGTCTGTAATTTTTCCAAACTAAATCACTCTATTTCTGAACTGGTCCGAAATACCTACATGCAATCCAAGCTGCTTTCAAAGAAAATTGAGAGTGTTTCCAAGAAATCAAATCTGTCCCAGGATTAATGGTAATCCTTTGCACCACATCTTTGAATTCCAAAGGCAAATAATCAAGAGCATCCCACCTGCCATCGATAATAATGTCTGCTACCATGAGATTTCTATCAACTTGTCGAAACTAGCAGCACTATATTTCTGAATTAATGACTGATTCTCACACCAAGGATCTGTTAACAATTTGAAAGTCATACGATCACCAATTTTGAAGTTTGCATTGTCCAATACAATCTGTCGAACCCCTATCAGCTGTTTCCAAATAACAGAGTCACTACATTTTGGAACCACTGTCCAGAAAGAGCCTCTCTTTAAATACATTACATGAAGCCATTTAATCCACAACTTATCTTTCTTCTGCACAAAATCCCAACATAAAGTAATTTTTGTAGCCATGTCAATTTCCTGAATTCTTCGAATATTGAAACCCCCCTCTGCTACAGGTAAGGTAACCTGACTCCATTTGAGCTGAGAAATCTTCTTTACATCTTGTTTGCCACTCCACAAAAAGTGTTTAAATCTTCTTTCAAGTCCAATCTTTGTTGCCCAAGGAATCTTAAAGCCAAATACCCAATGATACTAGTATGAAAATAACACTGATCTAAGTAATTCAATTCTACCTACAATTAACAAATTAATAGAATTCCAATAAGTCAATCTAGAATTAATCTTATCAATCAAAGGACTAAAATCACTAGATCTTAGGCTCTGGCTAGATAGAGGTAATCCTAAATATTTAAAAGGAAACTTTTCAAGCTGAAATTGCAGCATGTTTGACAATCTTCTTCTGCGTTTCACGGATTTAGAAAAAATAACTGAGCTTTTATCTTTGTTAACTTACAGCCCTATAGCCTCTTGGAACTTCTTGAAAACATCAGAAATGGCTTTGGCAGTGGGAATGTCAGCTTTAACCACAATTAGCAAGTCATCTGCATAAAAGGCATAAGAAATCTTCAAATCTGTCAATGCTACAGCTTTGTATAATTTGATCCTACCCTCCTCTATAGCTTGCTCCATTAAATTACTAAAATATTTAGTAATGAAAGAGAAGAGAAGAGGATAAAGGGGGCACCCTTGTCTAATTCCTCTAGAAGCAGAAAAGTAACCAGTTGGAACTCCATTGCAAAGAATGGAAAACTTTGAGGATGAAATACATGTAGTAATCCAATTTATCCATTTATTGCTAAACCCAACCACCTGCGACATCCTTTGGATAAAACCCCATTCCACAGAATCATAAGCTTTTTTCAAATCCACCTTCAAAGCCATAGATGGATCAACATGCTTCTTCCTAAATCCCTTGGTCAGATCAGAAACCAACAATATATTATCATGAAGTCTTCTATGCTTGATGAATGCTGATTATTCAGGGCCAATTAAGTTTGGGAGAACACTACTCAATCTGTTTGCAATAACTTTAGATATAACTTTATAAACCAAATTACAAAGTGCAATAGGTCTATAGTTAACAATCTTGTCCCTATGATTAGGCTTGGGAATGAGAGTAAGAAAGGTAAAATTTATACCTTGAGGCATGTTTCCAGAATTAAAAAAATGATATACAGCATTGATAAGCTCTAGACCAACAATCCCCGATAATGTTGAAAAAATCTTGCTGGAAACCCATCAGGGCCAGGTGCTTTGTCCGGATTAAAATGCATTACAACTCCTTTAATTTCTTCTGCAGTGATGATCCTATCAAGACTATCACTATCTTCAGTAGACGGAACCTTCCTAGGAGGTCGAATCTCCCCCTCCAGCCCCCCTTAAGACTGATAAAGATCAATGTAAAACTGAGCTAACCATTCCTTAATAATCGTAGGATCTGAAGAAATCTCTTCTGTTCTATTTTGCAATTGAGTAATAGAATTGGCACATCTTTTTTGTCTAACCACATTATGGAAAAAAATTGTACATTTATCTCCTTCTTGTAGCCATTTAATTCTGGATTTCTAGGCCCAGACAATTTCTTCAAGACCAAGAACATGTTGTAGATTATCAGTAGCTTCTCTCTCCTTTGAAATACTATCTTGATTATTAGGGTCCTGAAGAAGATCCATTTGCACTGAATAAATTGCTTCTCTAGCAGCTTGAAGTTGATCTGAAGTAGTCTCCCTCTCTTTATTCCAACTTTTGACAGTATCCTTAACAGACCTGAGTTTTTTCTGCAAAACATGAATTGGACTTCCTGTAACATTACATTCCCAAGCCTTCTTCACAACTTTCTCAACTTTAGCCTGAAGACACCAAATTTTGAGAAATTTGAATGGTTTTGGCCCAACTGAACAATCAAAAAACCATTGAACTAACAGACCATAATGATCTAATAAAGAAGAAGGAGTGAAAACCACTTTGGAGTCATTAAACTGATGCAACCACTCAGCATTGACAAGAACCCTATCCAATTTAGCATTAATCCTTTTATGAGTAATCTGTTTATTACACCAAGACCAATCCCCATTGTTAATTGGCAAGTCTTCCATATTGATACCATATAGCACACTATTAAATTCATCCAACTTGCTTTGAGGAACACTTAATCCTCATTTCTTCTCATGACTGAATCTTATCATGTTCCAGTCCCCCAAAGCAATCCAAGGCCTAGTGACTTTTGTAGCTTGCATCCTTAAAGAATTCCATAACTCTCGTCTGTCTTTAGCTCTATTAGCTACACAAATACCAGTTATAAAAATACTTCTGCCAGTCACAATGTGCTTCACATGAATCATCAAGGATTGGACATCTTCATGAACCAAATCTACATCAAACAAACCCTTATTCCACCCTATCTAAATTTTTCCCAAATAACTAGATTTATAATTAGACAGCCAATTCCATTGAGGACAAATATGTTTTTGTATACTGAGAGCTTTGCCCTCCTCAACCCTAGTTTCTACAAGGACAGCAAATTAAAATTTATTCTCTATAATCCACGGCTTTACTTCCTTCTGCATAGGAGGTCTATTCAGACCTCTAACATTCTAGGCTCCTAACATAATTGGGAGCTGGATAATGAATCACTGCCAAATTGCATACCTCGAGTAATTTTATCTGAAGGAGGAACAAAAGGCTTCTTTCTTTGTCTAAATTGTTTTCCCTTTCCTTGACTGTCTTTTATAATCTCCACAGACTTAGTAGCTATAACCTTCTGTCTTGCAGCTATAGGTGACTTATCAATCTGTTCTTCACCCTTTCCTGTATCAGTCTTTAGAACTCTATCTTCACCATTGACATAGTCACTAGAAATAACTCTATGATCTGTATCAACTATATTTTGTGGTCCTTCTACTATAGAAGCCTAACAAATTTGTTCTTTACCTTATCCACTCCGTGGAACAACTTGAGAAACAACATTATCTTTAACACTCTTACGTTCTGAGTCTTCCAGACTAATAGCAACATCTTTATCTCCCTCTTCTCCAGTAACCTCAATAGCCGATGCCTCTTTAGAATCTCCGAAATCAACAATCGCTTCTAAAATCACAGCCTCACCATTAGAATCCTCATTTGTTTCCAATAAAGCAAAAGCATTGGATGTCTCCACCAAACTTTCTTTCTGCATAACTCTTTGAGACATATCAGTAATCACCTTGTCCACATTATTAACTTCCACAAGTTTGACTTTCATTTTAACCACCCATTGATCCGTGGATTTCTTAGGTTTTTGCTTCTGCTGAATCACTTTTAGAGGACATCTATCTTCAATGTGATCCACTCTTTGACACACCTTACACACCACAGGTTTCCATTCATATTCCAAATCTACATGACAATCCACCCCATATATGTCTATAACCATAGAGTCAAGTAAATCTGCTTTAACTTCAACTTCCACCATAACCCTAACAACTTTTCCTTTATCTCTGTGAGTTTCTGGATCATCCATATAAATAGGTTTCACAAAGGAAGAACATACCTTGGACACAGATACTTCATTCTGGCAATGCACCGGCAAGTCATGAATACGCAGCCACACTGGAACCGTTTCAAGTATTTCTTTTTGTAAGTTGACATTCTTGTTCCAGCACTTCATGATAATAGGTCTACCCTCAAACGTATGAATTCTGGATAACACCTCTGAAACATCCTCACCAGACTTGAATCGGACCATGAAAAACCCATCTTTGAGGTAAACTAATGGGAAATCCTTGGCCCAATACTTAGCCACAAATGCTTTAAAATAAGGGTAATATGGCTTCTTACCATTACGTAACCCACCACTGATGTTTTCCAGTAAGCAACGTCTGTGGCAACATCCTCTTCCGTGATTGAAACTTTCTCTCCACGACATTTGTGATGGTATTGTAAATTCTTAAAAGTGGTTTGTGAATCATCGAAAAAACTATTGTATGTAGGTTTGATAGGAGAGGTATTCCGGCCTAGAAGACTTGCCGGCAGTGTGGGGGAGGAGGTCTGACCCTCCTCCATGGTGAAGGATCCTCCTTCAAATGTAACCCTAGTTGTGAAAAAATCACCTATGCGCTAGAGAGAAAAAGGGTGAAAAAGTATTTACTATCTCAGAAAATTAAGTTGGGACACATTATCTCTAAAAGAGGGATTGAGGTAGATAAGGCAAAAGTTGAATTAATTCATAGCCTTCCCCCTCCCTCTTCAATGAGACAAATTCGATCATTTCTTGGTCATGCAAGCTTTTACCGCCGTTTTATTAAGGATTTTAGTAAGATATCTCGGCCTTTATGCCATCTTCTGGAAAAGGACACTAATTTCAATTTTGATGAAGCAAGTTTGGAAGCTTTTAAGAAGCTCCGTTCACTACTCTCGTCTGCCCCAATCATGAAACCACCTAATTGGTCTCTACCCTTTGAGATTATGTGTGATGCATCTGACTATGCATTAGGTGCTGTTTTGGGCCAGCGTGTGGATAGAACTCCTCATGATATTTACTATGCTAGTAAGACTCTCTTAGATGCTCAAATGAATTATAGAACAACTAAGAAAGAATTACTAGCTGTTGTCTATGCCTTTGATAAATTCCGTTCGTATCTTCTTAGATCCAAGGTCATCGTTTTCACGGATCATGCCACGTTAAGACATCTACTTGCGAAGAAAGAGACCAAACCTCCTCTTATTTGTTGGATACTCTTACTCCAAGAATTCAACATTGAGATTAGGACAGGAAAGGAATTGATAATGTAGTTGCAGGCCATCTTTCTAGGCTTCTAATTTAGAACACTTCTGATTTTTCTCCACTTCATGACTCCATCCCGGATGAGCAACTGTTCCAGATTTCTTATGAATCACCTCCTTGGTTCGCTGACATTGTCAACTATCTTGTGGTTGGGAAAATTCCATCAAAATGGTCTTAGCAGGAGAAAGACCGGTTCTTCGCTCAAATCAAAAATTTATTTTGGGAAGACCCGGAATTGTTCAAATACTGTCCGGATCAAATAATCCGAAGATGTATTCCTGAATCCAAAGTTCAAAACATCTTGAAATTCTGCCACACTCTTAAATGTGGAGGACATTTCAGTGCCAAAAAGACTTCATCTAAAGTTCTTCAGAGTGGATTTTATTAGCCTTTATTATTCAGGGATGCCTACAACTTTGCAAGTCTTGTACGCAATGTCAAAAGCTTAGGGCCATGTCAAAAAGGGACATGATGCCATTAAACTCCATTTTAATTATCGAAATCTTTGATGTCTGGGGAATAGATTTTATGGGACCATTTCCATCTTCTTATGGTTATTTTTACATTCTTCTAGCAGTGGATTATGTATCTAAATGGATAGAAGGCGACCATAACCAATGACCACACTGCAGTGGTCCAGTTCATTCAAAAGAACATATTCAGTCGGTTTGGCACACCTCAAGCACTCTTGAGTGATGGAGGATCTCATTTCTGCAATCATTATCTTCAATCTGTTCTCCTTAAATACTCTGTCAGTCATAAGGTTGCCACACCTTACCATCCTCAATCGAGTAGTCAAGTGGAAGTTTCTAATCGGGAAATCAAGCATATTCTTGAAAAGACTGTTCGACCGAACCACAAAGATTGGTCATTACGACTAAACGATGCGCTTTAGGCCTACCGAACTGTGTTTAAAACGCCAATTGGCATGTCACCATACCGGATTGTTTATGGTAAGGCATGTCATCTTCCGGTTGAATTAGAGCATCGTGCATTTTGGGCCATAAAGCAGTTTAATTTTAATCTTCATCAGGCCAGCTCTAACAGAAAATTACAGCTCAATGAGCTAGACGAAATCCGGAATGAGGCTTATGAAAATACAAAAATCTATAAAGCAAAGACAAAAGCATTCTATGATAAACATATCATTAATAAGTCTTTTACTTCAGTTCAAAAGGTTTGGTTTTTCAATTCCAGATTGTAACTTTTCCCAGGGAAGCTTCGATCACGCTGGGAAGGTCCTTTTCTAATCACTTCAGTATTCTCTTATGGTGCAGTTGAGCTGCAAGACCCGAAGAATGGGAATCTTTTTAAGGTCAATGGTCAGCGGCTTAAGCCTTACATTGATAACCTAGTCCCGGTCAGATATGTGGATTCCATTATCTTGACGGATCCAATTTATGAGGACTAAAATGATTCCCATAACGTCTAGCTATCAACGTTAAATTTAGCACTTCAAGGAAGCAAATTCTTTCCATTCCAGGTTTTCTTATTTACTTGTTACTGCAAACCAATAATCTCTAAAAATGCTTATGTAGAAACTCCACTTTGCATTCTTCAAGAATCATTTAGATTTCCATTCCAGAGGTCATCGTGGATTTTTATAATCATAAAAGGTTTTGGTAACATTTTCGGGAGTCTTCAAGCAACAATTAATCAAAGGAATTGGGCACATTCACGTCTGGATGCCACTTCTAGCATCCGAACACCAATCCCTGAAACAACTCGCATTCGGACGTAAGATCCTGCGTTTGGACGCCATCACTTGCTCTTTGCCACGTCTGGACGCCACTTCCGGCGTCCGAACACCATCACACTCATGCCAAATTCCGAGCCTAAGAGTTGGTAGAATCACGCCCTGCTACAGTTCGCGTCCGAACGTCATCCTTCGTGTCCGGATGCGAAGGCTCATTTGGAGAACCCGAGCCCAGCCTTGTGTTTATATATTACTACCCTCCTTATATAATTGCATCTCCTTCTTTCCATCCTCAAATCATACGCATCCAACTTTCCAACCCTACCTTACCCATCTTCTATAATTTGATTTTAACCGACTCAATTCCATTAAAAATTAAATCTTTCTTTTCCATTATCATCAATCCATCTAGAAGGCAAGATTTCAATCTCCAAATTGAGATAAGTTCTTTCATCTTCCATCTTTCAATTCTTGAATATTCCATGAAGATTAAAACTTCATTTTGTGGGAGATTAATTCTTTTTAAGTGAGGAGTGGTTGTGTTTTCATTCTAGATTCATGCTTGTTGGTTCTAAATAATGTAATCTTCACAAGTGTTCTTTACTTTTCAGTCTTGTACACCACGTGTTCGACAAAAG